AGATCCAGCAGACGCACGTCGTTCAAGTCTTGCAGTAGTTCTGGGTCCGACTGAGTGCTGTCATCTCGTGCGCCCACCCCGCCGAACAGTACCAAGTAATTTTTCCCTATCAATCAGCGTGTATCAGCTTCCATCGGAACGGACTGAATGCCAGTGAGACAGCGAACAGATATCAGTTGTGTGAAAGCATCGTGCTTTCGGGACTGGATCACCCGCAGCGGGAAATAGTTTCTCCCACTTCCAGAGCTCAAGGTCAAAGACGTATAAGTCGGACTGGACCCTTTGCTCGGAACCTATGGTCATGGAACCACCCTATAGCTAGTGGATCAAATGTTTGCTAGGCAATGACATACGAACTATGCTTACAAACAGGTACAGTCTAGACCCGAATAACGCTGCTGAAGCGCCCTATAAAATGATGTCTCGGAGAACGAATGCGTCGTTGCGGGAAGCTCACGCACTATGAGTCTCGGTGGCACATCGCCTATTGTCTCGTGAAATTGGATGACCATCTCGGACGTCGAGCGGGACATTGCGATATATCGAGCAGCGGAGAGGAGTGGCGGTCAAAAGGAAACCGGCAACTTCATATGAGTATCATATAGAGACCAAAAGCGGAGATTGATCAGCCGTTGCCCGTGCTGCGGGTCACCTCCGGTTGCCAGAGGACGGCCTGCGATATTAATTGCGGTTGTTATAATGGTAGGATAACCATACTTGTGGTAAGGGACCATGAGCTTGGAATTGATAGAGCGTGCTGAAAGAACTTGCAGAGCGAGTCATCACCCGAGTTTGGGAACGTTCACATGCGTGAAATTCAGCGCATCGTCACAAAGAGGCCTAGTAACCAGTGATAAAACTGCCAGTAGCTTATGCTTGCCATGCGGTGAACTATCTTTGGTGGACCGACGTTTGTACAGCTAGGATGCGGAAAGGAGATCGGGACGAGTGATATCAATCTTGACATGGAGATTGGATGACGGCCTCGCAAATTGAAATCTGCCAAATAGCACGTGACTGGCGCACGGTCACGAGCTGTATCAACAATAACACATAAATCCATTTCTACGGTGACACAAAGCAACTGTCTTTGTTCTGTGGTGAATCTACTTATATTCGGTTAGGTATGAAACTTAGATGCTCAGATGTTATTCAATCGAACGCAGACGAGTCCCTCGGTAGTTTTAGTTCGGCACCGTACTTCCTAGATTGTTATCATTTTGGCGTGACTCATAAGTATGGGCTACATAAGGGCGGAGGTTCGGGAGGGTTCCCAAACCCAATGTCAACCACCTATCTCGTCGATTCGCTCCCCAAAACCGCTCTGATTGTAATTGATGTGCAGCAAGGTCCACATTGAGCCTCAAAGTCCTGTTGGTTGGCTCATCCAGCTTAGCGTTCCTCGATGACATGTTCAAAAACCGCGAGAGATCAACGCCCAACCTCCAACCGAACATCACCGCGCTCCTCGCGGGGTTTCGCGCCAAACAGCTGCCCGTGATCCACGTCCACCATATCGACACAGAGAAGCTCGATCCTAATGGCGAGTCGCCCTTCAACGAGAAGACGCACCCCGAGGGAGTGCTCCCGCAAGACTATGTCGCTCCACAGGACGCGGAACCCGTTCTCCGCAAGTTCGATAAAAGCTCCGCTTTCAACGCGCATCGCGTCGGTGACGAGAACACGAGTCTGAAGGATGTCCTCGACGCGGGAGGCATCACGACTATCGTCCTTGTGGGGTTGTCGTCCCCGCACTGCGTGAGCTCAAGTGCCCGTGCGGGGTACGACCTCGGACTGAAGGTTGTGGTGATTGGCGACGCATGCGCGACGTTCAACGCAGGTGTCGCTAATTACCAGGGGTCTGCCAAGGGGGATATCAAAGAGGGTAAAGGGTGGAGTGCTGAAACAGTGCATGGCGTTGCGATGGCACATCTGGATGGAGAATTTGCCGACGTTGTAGGCACAGCCGAGGTGCTGAAATTTCTGTAGCTGTTGAGATACCGTGCGTACCTAGTGCGTACCTTACTGTAACATCACTCTTGTTCTTGAGTCAACTGAAGCGGCACAAAAACACGGAAGTCGCATTTATTTCGAGTCTACAGTTCAAACCCAATGATAAGTACTAGTCCATACATACAGTATTTCCCGTACTGTGTGGCTGGTGTTCCTTGTAGTGTCACGGTTGCTGGTGGCCGTCAGATGCCCCGGCAGGAAGTTCGGGGGCGACAATGCCATTGTCGAGGTACATCAGCAGACCACGGTTTAGTTCCGTAAAGGTAGGTAATTCCCTGACTATTTCGAGGTAGCTCGGGCCGACTAAACGTGCTCGTTTTAGAATGGTAACAATCTACTACGCACCTGCGGGTTTGAATGCCGCGGGGTTAAAAAAACAGGGTATAGAGGGTTGATAGAGAGGTACGGGTACGGTGTCACTCACGTTGATGTTGCGCACAGATTCTCATCTGCATAGCTTTTAAATAAATAAGTCGTTTTGTCTAGTACTACTAAGCACTGATCGAGCTTCTCTGCAAGTAAAAATGTCTGTGCGCGTAGGCCGACCAGATCGGGCCCCGCCGTCCCGGGATCCTCCTCGAGCTCACCGACTTCGCACATCGATAGACAGATCCTAATTTTAGAGGAGAGAGGTCGTCAGTTTCTTTCTTGAACGATCCAAGTTAATTGGATATTTTGCCTGTTCATCAGATTGAACGAACATTTGAGAAAGTTCGCCGTGATCAGAGCCCACACTGCAGCAACCGGAGGAGGCTCATGCAAAATTAATTCAAGTCCAATGCACACTGGCAGAGGGCTCCGAGTACGACGATCCCAGCATCGAATCCATCGTCACTGGCAATTAGCATGACGACTGATGTGCGACCGCCGTGATGGAACCCTTAAGGTACGGGGTACCGTAGTACTGCACGCCAATGAGGGGATACCCCGAAGAGATGAAAGCGTGCGTTGGACGACGGTCGCGTCCGATGCGCACGACGCCAATGGAAGAATCAATTCAACACGTGATGCAATGTTGAAACTTTCAACATCTATATAACCCGGCGGCCTGGGATTTAAGCGGTTTTTAACAAGAGCCCGCGGGCGTACTTGAGCTATCATTAATGTCGGACTGGGAGCGGCCTGGATGCATATCCACGGTTTTATTACCGACATGCCGCGACAGATTTGAACGCCGCTATTAGCTATAGCCTATAGATGAGCTCATTCACGTACGCGTTGCGAGATATAAAGACTCCTCCCATCTTCATCTTGCTGACCACCAACATCACCTCGAAACAAGCACAAAAGTCATCGCCATGAAGTCTGCAATCTTCTTCACCCTCCTCTCCGCCAGCCTGGCCTCCGCGCTGTGCTTCATCCCGACGTTCGGCATCTCCGCCGGCGAGTCCTGCGCCGGTATCCCCGCGAGCAGCACCGGCTGCAATGGCCTAGACATGGTGGGTGTTCACCTTCTCAGCACACTTGGCTGACGTTTTGTCACTCCAGTTCATCTGCAACGCCGGCTTCACGTGGGAGCTGTCGGCCATCTGCGGCAACTCGTGCTTCTGCACCGACAGCGACGGCTCGGCGTTCTGCACTTGAGACAGCTATTGAGTGAGGCCTGTTGAGCGGGAATGGAGTGCAATAGCAGGCTTCCAGTTGTAAATAGCCTCCGTCTTGAAGAGTCCTCATTCTGCGTCAGTGTTCATACATGGCAAATACTAAGCTCCCGTCCGTCACGGTCCGTGAAATGAGTGCTTGTTTGGCATTACTAATCCTGATGGAAAAGGGACCAGACTCTTTTGGTCATGTGTTTTCAGAGACTCAGATTCTTGCCTAATTCCCAAAGCACAGATTGTAGAGTAAGTATTTACTTACAGTAATTGCTTTTACTGGATTACAAACTGAGATCTCACTTCCTCTCTTTATACAGCATGGAAAACGATCCCAGAACACGCAACATCAAGAGGCCACCCTTCGCAGAAGTTAAACATTGGAACATGGAGGCAGGACTCCCCGCCTCGTATCCCGGTCAATGAAAATTGAATGTATTCTGAGTTTTTCATAATTTTACTGACAGGTCAATCATGTCCACTGGCAGGTCCACCATGATTGCACTGTGCAGTGAGGGCAAGTTCTCCAACCTTCCTTGTCGGTAGCGGGCTGTGCCGCTCGCCGGCCCTACGGCTTTATGCGGGTGAACACACGAATAAAAATGTCTCGACTGATCCTAAATCACGACGTACGGAATTCACAGTGCACAGGCGTCCCTGTGCACGCGTGCACGCATCATTTACGGCACATGAATAGATCAAGGCGCATGTCTCGACTAGAGTATATCGGTTAGTACACGCGCTCGTCATAGTTAGGGGTAGTTACAAATAACTCGCGCGAAAGCTGGGTTGAAAAATTCAACTCCAGGTCGAGAGTAGGGGCCACGCCCTGCGAAGGGCTGGGTGTTGGTCCTCACATCCCACGCCTTACTGCCGATCGCGTGGCACGCCATTGAAGAGGTGACTGCCGTCACATTATAATTCTGAATCTTCGCCAGGCTGTGCTGAAAGCTCGTAAGGTAGCGTTAGCGCTATAGAAACTGGTCCGATGAATCAGCTGAAATGACACACATATATCCAATGCCGAAAGGTGCCGTGACGGCATTTTCAATAACAAATATGAGGATGATGACATTTTTGTGATTTCTCGAAGATCACAAAAAATCGTGCACTCCCGTACTCCAAGACCCGTACCTTACGGTAGCGGGAATATGGGTGCACGACTCGGACGCCTTGTTTGCCCGCCGTCCCTTGCGCCGGGGCTGCATACGCGATGCGGGACTTGAGCCCGAACACTTCCGCAAGATGCGGCTGGGCCGCCGGGCACGCGTCATCACGCACCAACAGGCGGCGCTCTCCACCCTGGATGCGGGGAAGAAAGAACGCCGACAGCGGGTCAAGAATTAAAATGGGAAACAAAAAAGAACAAAATTTCGCTTTGTCGCTTTTGACCTCTCGACCTGGGAGTCGAACCCAGTTCGCGTGCGAAATATTGTATATCGACTGGCTTACTATCTGCGCGCGTACTAACCGATATACTAGCCGAGATTGATTGTGCTTTCCTTAATGTGTTTCCTGATGTGATGTGATGTCATGCTCATGCCCTCTAGGCCGCGAGACTCTACATGTCCGTCAGCTTCTGTTCCAGTCAGGCCTTCTGGTGCAGTGAATTTCCGTGATACTGATATGTTTTCTGACGATTTAGATTACAACCATGTGGTCAAAACTACCGGGCCCAAACTCAACGACGCGGGCAACGGGCGGGATGTGGTAGAAATGAGGAACGTACCTAGCATAAGCGCGCACTCGCCCCCGTCAAGATTTGAGGTCAAAAGAGGCCGGGGAATGTGTTCGAGCTCGTCGGGTGACGGGTATTTGCGCCTGCCTCGCCACCATCCCGCGCCAAGCGGCCCTATTCTTCGCCCTCAACCATGCCCAAGGCATTATGCTGGACCGTTGTGCGCGTGGCAGCATGCCGCAAGACACCTGAAGAGATCAAGGCTTTCCCCTGAGCGAAGCCCGCCGTCAACATGCCGTCCCGGCATCAAGGTACTAGTATGCCGCCGGCTTGATCCGATTCTCATAGCGCCAATCGAATTCGTACAAACACGCCGCTCGTGGCGCTCCACGCGAATTTGCAGCACCGGTATTAGCCCGCATCGGTGCCCCGACGGATGACAAGGACAAGCGCCGCAATAGTTTGACGGGTTGCAGATTAGACGGTTGTGTTGGTTTCTTCACTCCCTCGTCAAGGAAAAATGGGCTGATGATTGACCGGCAGCTTACTTCGGTCCGAAAGATCAGTGTTTTTCTGTACATTGAAGTCACTGGCGAGAAGATCATCCAGCTTGTGGACGCCAAATATACTACGGAGCTTTTTGCAGGATATATACTTAAACTTGTACATATTAGTTTGAGCTCGAGTACATGTGCGAGTAGGCATGGAAAGATTTTGCTATCTCCGGCACTAACCAACCGCTTAAATTTCGAAACCTTGTGACCTACAGCAGAAGATCAAAGTCCTGAGAAAACCGGGTTTTTTTCAATGCCGGGCACTGTTTTACGCCGAGAAACAAGCCCGTTCTTGACAGGTTTTTGGCGAAATTTGATGACAATATTTCTACATCGGTCCAGACATTGAACTACAGCAGAGCACGTGAGTAAACCTCCCGGCTTCACTCGCCTACATGGAGACTGATATGTATTAGGCAGGCTATCAGACAAAGCTTCCGGGAATCCGGACCTCTTGATATATCGCTGTACCACCTTGTCAGCAACGTTCAGAACATGTCCCTCCCCGCCCTTGACCCTGCGCAACTCCAAGCCGTGCGCGCCTTCGTGGGACACCTGAACGCCCTCGAGTGGGAGCCGCTCGCGGAGCTCCTGCACCCCGACTTCCGACACCAGTACCAACCCGCGTCGATCGTCCCGCCGGACGGCAAGGAGACGCGCGGGAAGGCCGACTTCATAGGTGTGCTGCAGCACAACCTGCTCGTGGTCTTCAAGTTCATTAAGTGGACGATCGTGGACGAGACGCACGGCGTGGATTCGGTCGTGCTGCACGTAAGCGCGCTGTTCTTTCTTGAGCGGATGGATGCCCACGGATCGTTGATTCTCCCGTTTATCATTGACAGTTGACGTCGAACGGGATGTCCAAGTCCGGGAGGGAATACGGCAACGAGTACATGTGTACCTTCAAGCTGCAGGGCGATAAGATCACTCGGCTGTACGAGTTCGTGGACTCCAAGTACTCTTCCGCGTATTTCGGGGCTTTGAGGGCGGAGTAGGTCATCCATCTTGGTGCTGAGTAGTAGCTGATGTCGCGCATAGAACAGCATCATCTTCGTAGTCACTAGGCTTATATCATGCATGTACACCAGACGAAGCCTCGCAGTTTTCCAATCCGGACTGTGTGCAGCGTGCAGCGATAAGGACGCACGCGAGGCCCGCGAAGGCGTCGACGTAGTTGAGCGACCCGAGAAAGTTGTCTGACAGCGCGAGCAAAGAGAGCATCTTGCTCGCATCGCACACCGCATGCAGGAGTCGAGCTTTTGCAGCACGACGACTCGGAGCCCATATGCATGCTCCCGCTGCGGCGCTGTTCTTCTCGTCGGCGCTTGAGTTGAGACAGCTGCGGCAAGCGTCTGGGATTCTCACTACGCTTGGCTTGTGCTCGCGCGGAGCGAAAGGCGGTCGCGAGGAGGTGTGGGGCGTATGAAGAAGCGGATGCAGTTGTTCTGGTAGCAGCAGGAGATGGGACTGTCCAGCGAGGCGGTAATGTAGAAGAGAGGGCGTTGACGAGGGATGGAGGGATACCTCGGTATCATACCTGTGGAGCGCGTATACGGCGCCTTGATGGTCTCGGCTGCCGTAAGTCTTGGGGATACGCGGAATGGAAGATTATCCTTGTAAAACGCTTCAACAAAGAGGTCTTGCGACTTGAACGCTGGATGGCAGCGGAGTACACAGTCTGGGCTCGTTACAGTAAACCAATATCCTAGTAGTACTACACATTAGATCATTTTAACCGCGTTATAGCATCTTCCGCAACATGTCCCCCCACCCGCCACCACCCCCCTCTTCCGGCGGGCCCGAGAGGTCAAAGGACCCCGGCATGAGCAGCACGTCGTCCTCGTCCTGCTTCTTCCCCTTCCGAGCGTGCTGTTGCTCCTCCTCGCCTGGAGTCAGCATCGACTCCGGTTCGTCCATCACCAGCTGCGCCTGCTCCTCCGGCGCAGGCGTAACCTGCACGTGCATATTCTCCCCTGGCGCCCCCGCGCTGAGCGGCCCAGTTTGGCCCTGCACACCGGCGTACTCGTCGTCGTCGTCGTCGTCGCTGATCGCGCTCCATCCGCTGGCCCCGCTTTTCCGCCGCGCGAGCCCGCTATTCAGCCGGCCCAGCGCGCGAGCACCCGCAATGGCGCTCCGCCACCGCGCGCGCGGGTCGAAGTTGTCACGCAGACCGGCGCCAAGGTCGTGCTCCGTCGAGGGCTCGTGCGTCGTTAGCCACTGCGGTCGCCGTACAACACCAGGTATTGCAGAGGGGCGTCACCGTCGACGAAGCGGCGGGAAGACGAGGTTAAGGGTAGAGGAGGACAGGGCGACGGAGATGTTGCATGAGCAAATGAAGGAAGTGACAAAGAACCACGTACAGTATCGTTGAGCGCCTCTTCTGCCGTCGGCCGCTTGGCTGGGTTAGCATTGAGCAGTCGCTTGACGAACGCTTTCGCTGTGCACCGCCCCGAGTCAGTCGGCAGGTCACACGCAAAAAAAGAAAGAGACACGCCTGGATCTGAGACGTTCTTCCAATACTTTGTGTGGAACTCGATTTTAGCCTCCATCGTCTCCTTCATAAGCGTGACCGCGTCTTCTCCGCGGAACGGTGTATATCCGCAGAGCAAGACGTATGTGATGACTCTGCCATAAGCCCAAGGTCAGACGAGATACATGCGGGCAGGAGGTGCGCATACCCGGTACACCAGACGTCGACCGCCTTGCCGTGCCCCTCCTTCTTGAGCACCTCCGGCGCGACGTAACCTGGGCTCCCAGCCAGGGACATGAGCTGCTGGTCCGAGGTGTGCAGATGCTTCGCGCTATTGGTCGTTCAGTAAGATCGACGACCGAGAAATGGAAGTAACGCGCACATCCCAAAATCTGCTATGACAATGTCGCTGTTCGCATCCTTCGTGCGGTAGAGAATGTTCTCTGGCCTGACAGTCGGTCACACTATCAGCGGGAGGGCACAACGCAACTGCGAAGGGCTACAAACTTGAGATCGCGATGGACAATGTCGTTGTCGTGCAAGTACTTCACTCCGGAGAGGATGGATCTATGTGGCAGATGAGGCCTGGTAACTGAGATTACAATGATAACCCACTTCACGACATTGACCGCGTCCTTTTCCGTGAACTTGCCCTTCTCCTGGATGCGGTAGAAAAGCTCCCCGCCGACGGCCAGCTCGAACGACAAGTAATACTTTGTCCGCGACTCAAACCATTCGTAGAATTTGACCTGTCAAAGTGAGCCGAGTAGCATGCGACACAGAAACCCACGCACAATATTGGGGTGGTCCAAGCCCTTCAGCACCTCCATCTCGCCCCAAACTGCAGACTCGTTCCCCTTGACCTTCTTCTTCGGAATCAGCTTTAGCGCCACTTCCTTGGTTATATTGCTTAGAACGGTAGAAGTGGGCGACGGCGATCGGGAGCGCAATATCTTGGACGAATGGGAGGTGCCGCGCGACAGCCTCGACGAGCTCCCAGGGTCGTCCGCCATAGCTCCGTGTTCTGCGAGGCTGGCTTGCTCGGCCGGGACGTGCCATGTGGCGTGCTGAAGAATATTGCATGCTCATGAGAACGCGCAAGCCAGCCAGCGGACAGGCGTGATTGCCGATGAACCACCACGCACCACGACCTTCCCAAAGGTGCCGTTGCCTAGAACGTCGTGCACTTCATAGAGCTTCTTCTTGTAGAAGCTTGGCGGCTGAGGGAGAATTGCGTCCTTTATCGAGAGATGCTTCAACATCTTTCCGTGAGGATTCTAGGAGAGAACGAATCAGGCCAGGGAGCTGTGTTGATACAAGGCGTCAATTGTCGAACGAGTGGACAGAGACCAAGGAGAGGGCTATTGGTCTCACTAAATTAAAACACCGAACACGATGACCATCAAATCACGTGCATCATTAATACCATCACGTGATGGCGCCTATGGCGCGGGTCGCGACGCGCCTGAGCACCGGATGGCAGAAAACATGGGCCACGCTACAAGAGGACTTCTGCAAGTACAATGTACGCCGATCTAATAAAATTTAAAGAGAAAGTGTAGGCAGGGGAAGGTGGGGACGAAAAGAAGCAGCTGTAGATCAACTGTAGATGCTGCAAGCATGCTGTGAGATGGGGTGTACAAAGATGCCCACCTTCAGGCATGCTGTGAAATGCCTTTACAAGGAAGAGAAAGGTAGGCTCTGCGGCTCCACGTCGCTCCAGCACGGCTCCATTGTAGGCCGCAGTATACTTTTGTAACCAGACGACGAAAAGAATAGATACTTT